TGAGAGCCCTGAGCAGTGTGAGGAGCTGTACGTAGCAAAAGTGCCTTGTCTGGTGAAAGAAACTCATATAATACACAGAGCTAGATAGCATAAGGAAGAATGCTTCAATGTTTGCCCCTCAGAGAAGTCAGCAACTTGAAAAGAGGCAATATTGCTTCCCAATCTGGTCTCAGCAGTTTTTTCCCCCATCTTGTAGATTAGACTCCTTCCTTCTTCCAGAGACCAGCAGTAGTTTGCTCCTCTTTATCTCTGCCTGAGCAGCTAAGTTTCCTGCTTCTGAAGCAGCATCTCTTTCTGCTGCCTCAGCAATTCCATAAACACAAAGGGAGAGGGCCTGGAGATGCCGTAAAAAGCTTTGTCTACTGCTGGGATACCTATTTACAGTTCTGTAGGAGGACAGCTACAGGAGACTTTCCAGAGTTTTCAGCCCTGTCCCTCAGCAAGTGCCATTTTTAGGTCTGTCATCAGGGATAAAAAGAGGGAACTTCTCTGTAAAAAGAGTTCACATAACATATGTTGCTGAAAGCTTCCACCAGCACTTCCCACAGCAAGAACACCATTTAGGGCTTAAGCTACAAAGATTATGTTCATGACTTTGTAGTTTCACATTTAAAGCAGAATTTTAAAGTTCTGCAATTTGAGGTGGGGGGGGGGGGAATAACAAAACTGCAACCTCCCGCACTATTCTGACCTGAATTAGTTTTATCTTCAGAAATTAGGAGAAACACTTGGATTCTGAAACTAGATTTCTATGCCTTTAAATAGTTGGCAATTTTCTGAGTTTTTGATGCTTCATTTCTGAAAAACTATGACAGTCTCATTATGTATTTTATCTAGAAAACCTAGCACTTCCAAGCTCAAGTATAATTTTTGTCTAGGGCACACTGATGAAGAAGTTGGGTAGAGTAGGTACAGGACTGTTAGACCTCAGATTCCGGGATATTTCATCTCCAGGCCACCAGAGAGTTGGATTTGGTATGTTCATCTGTGGAAACAATCTCCTCAAGTCTTCTGGGATTAGTACATTCCTTTACACATCTGGGAATGCTTGTTTTCCATCAGCTTTTTTTGTTTTAGATCCAAACTGTCTCCAAATTATATTTATCTTTTGAAAAGCCTGCAATTCTGTCTGTATAATGTGTGTAGTCACAGAGCCCCTTTTTTGCCAACAATTAGGGTTGAAGTTTTAAAAACAACCCAAGACATGCAATCAAAGGAATTTTGTACAAAGAATTCTGTACCACAGAGCAAAACATAATTCAGCTCTGTGAAAAAAGTGTAGAGAGGGAGAAGATGTGATAGCTGTGTAAGGACGTAACTCACGTGTGCAAAACAGAACATTGAATAAAGCACATTAAAAAATGTTTACTAGAATTTGTAAGAGATACATTGCACATCACTTCTGTTAAGCAGGAAGAACAACCTGTTCCCATTCTCATGTCAAACAGCACAACTCAGAGTGATTTCATCACTTTCCTGAAAGGTTTCACTGCTGAACAATGGTACCCAAAATAGAGACCACTGAAAACCCAAGGCAAATGATCACACCAAGAAATGCTGAACCCAGCCCCTACACTGGATCAAATATGATTGATCAGAAGAGCCCAACACCATTCTTTTTCCCCTCCAGCTGACTCAGCAGATCAGAAAGGAAATATTTTGGGGGCTGGAGGCAAGAATCACTCATATGGAAGTTAGTGAGAAAGAAAAAAACATCACAATACATTTGTCCTGTAAATAAACCCATGATCATTTCTGCCACTATGGTGATCCAGGAGAGACTTGTTCCTCCACTGGCAGTAACTAGTTACAACTGCAGAAGAACAACCCTGACAAATTTCACCTCTGTTCAATGGCGGGGGTGGCTGAACAGGGAGACAGTAAGCTGTCTAACCAAGGCCGTCAATCACCCACTCAAAAATCTCTCCTGTCTTTACAGTTAGGGCAGGGAAAGGAAATAAAAGAACAAGGCAATTCTCACTAGGTGATTTGGGATTTTGTCAAGTGGTGTTTTGTTTGTTGGGTTTTTTTTCCCCCAACAGCAGTATGCAGTGGATGGTCTTCTTATCAATCAACATTTTCTACCACACTAAACCTTGGCACAGACATTTTGCCAAGATTTCAGATGGCAAATCTGAGATCTGCACTGTGTGAGGGGATTTCTTTTCCCTCTGCTGAGGTTATCTCCTATGACTACCAGAAATCCCCAGACATCCCCAAGTCCCACGCAGCCAATGACAATATGCTCAGAGCTGTAACAACCTCCATGCACACAGGGATCCCAGCTGTGCCTGTCTTTAGCAGCAGCTCAGATACTAATCCCTGAACAGCAACAATTGACAACAGCATGCATGGGTCACTACATTGATGTTTTCAAATTCTTCAAGAAGGACCATGCCAAACCCTACCCCCAGTTCTGGCTTTGGCCCAGGACTTTAGCTAACATTTAAACACCTACAAAGTCCCCAAGAAGAGCTTAGCTCCTGGAATCCACACACCTTCTGAGCAGGATCTCACCAGATCGAACACTTCACCTCAAAACTCTTTTCCTTCTCCTACCACAGGGTCTGTTTAGATGGCAACATCACACATCCTCCTTTTTTAAGTGGTACAGCAGTCAGGCCAAGCTTTCTTCTTGGGTCCAACCACTAACAGGATGGAAAACATTCCTAAATGCTATGAAACAAACACTGTCAGGAAGTGGAAAGTGGTTTCTATGCTTGAAAGAAGGAAAAAGCTCAAGAAGAAAATAAATATTATGCATTTGTGGTCTTTTCCACAACAGCGGGACATTCCTTTTCTGCCCATATTTTTCTCCCATTACTCACTTAATTTTACAGAAATTAATATGGAAGTTGCTTATCACCTGGAAAAGCATTATGCTGCTAGGAGGCTCCAGAGATACTGCAGGAGGACTAGGAGCTGCGGTAAGTTTTTAGGGAAGAGAACTTCATCATGCACTTGTAACATTCAGCCTTTGTGTGAAAATAATCCTTTATCCAAGAAGGATCAGAGGGTCTCCTCCGATGAGATGTGGCAGCCAGCCTGGGGAATATGCAACAAAACCAACCAAACATCTTTCACCCATCCACCAGAAGGAAGGTCATCTGCCTCAGGCCAATATACTCCAACACACTGTGTACTGTTAGGTATGTCAGATGCCACGAACACATATCCAGCAATAATTCCTCTGTACTGGAATAACTGTACGTAGGATGGAAGGCAGAAGACTGCAGAAGCATCTACATTAGCATTCTGGTTCAGATTAAAAGGGTATACTTTTGAAATTGGCTTTGAATTTGCCTCCATGATTGATTTGTATTGTATCATCAAGCAGTGACAAATGACAAAAACAAGATTACTCACAAAGATGCATTCCCAGAGTACTCCAGCATACTGCAGCCTTAGGTGGGCATTAGCCCATGGGAACAGACCACAGCACTAGCAAAAGAAAAACCCTACCCTAAAGTGTATGTAGCACCAACTAATTTACAGTAAAGAGATTTGCCTGTCTACTGTATTTTCTAAATTAGAAATTGTCAGGATGACAATCTGATCCCATAAGCACCCTCTGCACATCCCTTACCAGAGCTATATCTAGAGCCTTTGAAGTGAGAGAAAGTGAGAAGAGAATACTAAAGTCAGCTAATCTTGAAGTAAAACTTGCCCTCCACATAACTTCTGCTACCATTGTCAAGGATACAAAAAGTTACTGCCAATCAATAATGTAAGTCTATTAGTTAAAACAACTATTTATCTTTCAGACTTCAAAGTGGATATTCCCATCATCTATATCTGTTCTGGATGACTAAAGCTATGTTTTCAAACGCCAGAGCCACACCAATGACTTTGTCTTTTCTTACACAAAAAGATACCACACTTGATAGAAACCTTCAGCTGAATTGAGCTTCTGCCACCAACTGATTAGCAACAAAGCATGGTATGTTGGTCATTCAGCCAGTTTTAAGTCTTGTAAAGAATGCTTCTGGGATGCACTGTCCAGGTATGCATGACAGATGCTGCATTACCTCTCCTACTACTTAATGCTTGTTTTGATTCCAGAAACAGTAAACTCAACCTTACCCTGTGCTTTGTGAGGAGTTCTAAGATGTCAAATTCTATGGAAGTACAAAGGAAGAAATAAGATCTACTTGCAACTACTGAGTGCAATTGATAGAGTTCCTCCATTTCTAAGACATGCCTTCAAGGCAAAGTCAGGCTTACAACTCAGGCAAATGAACTGGTTTAGAAGAAGAAACTACAAAGGCATATCTCATTTCTAAAACTAAACCCATTCATAGACCAATCCGAAATTGCAGCAATCCCTAACTCTTGAAAGGACAACTATCCAAGACCAAATAGCTTCTTCACTTTAAGACAACTGTCTGTGAGGTTGTTGAGGTTGTTGAGCTAGGCCTCTTCATGACAGAGAGCAGCAGATCAGAGTATAGTCCACGTTTCCTTTCATTTCCACACTAACATATAATCATAGACTCACAGAATTGTTTGGGTTGGAAAAGACCTTGAAGATCATCAATGTCCAGCTGTTAAACCAGCACTCTGATCCTCAAATGCCACATCTACACATCTTTTAAATATCTCTAGGGCTGACAACACAGCCACTTCCCTGGGCAGCCTATTCCAATGACGACAACCCTTTAAAGGAAATTTTTCCTAATATCCAATCTAAACCTTTACTGGTGCAACTTGAGGCCATTTTCTCTTGTCCAGTAACTTGGGAGGAGAAATCAACCCCCACCCGTGTGCAACCTCCTTTCAGGTACCTGTAGAGAACAATAAGGTCTTCCCCTCAGCTTCCTTTTCTCCACACTAAACCACCCCCATTACATCAGCCATTCATAAAAACCCTTGTGCCCCAGATCCTTCACCAGCTTAAACTGACAAACACATCCCCGATAAAGGTTCATATAAACTGATTTGTGATTAGGGTGTACTGACCTTATCGCAATTCAAGTAAGAATGCAGCAGTATGAAAGGACTTGGAGGTTTCAGTATTTATTGCTAATTATTCACCCATGCAATTTTTCAGAACTATTTTAACTAAAGCAAATTGAACAGTGCTTACATGGACATTATGTTCATTCACTGTAGCATAATATACACACGGTCACATCAAATAAGCTTCAAATACACAGCCTAATTTTATCGTCGTCCAACTCTGCTCCTCAGCGCTTTCAAAGTTTTCTTCATGATTGGTGCTATTTCTTCAATAACAACAAAACAAAGATACCAGCTAGGATTACAACTATGAGCAATTTTAAATTGTATTAGTATAATATTAAGCATATATTAGGCAAAACGTTAAAACATTGAAATTTATCATCTTAGAAAATGCCACTTACTTTTGGTAGGCTTCTTTCCATCTTCAATCATGACACCTGAGCTAGAACTTCTGCTGTTGCCAGCATGTATCAGATTTGATAATATATTTTTTCTGTCACTCATTTCTGGAATTCCAATTCTTTTAAAACAAGCAAGTAAGAAAAAAGTTAGCATTTAATATCAAGTTACTATTTGCTCTGGCTCATTTAAAAAAAAAATGTCAAAACCAACAGCCTGATTGGATACATTTAAGAGACTTTATACATTTCAATGTCATGATAGTTCAGGTTAGAAGGAATTGCAGATGACCAGCTTTTCCATTTTTATTCTCATGTTTCTTATTAGTCTTTAAAATGAAATTATTAGAGTTTGTGACAAATCAAAATGGCCAGCAATACCACTTTGATTCATAATGCCCTGTGCTCTAGTTTGTACCTTGTGTTTCTTTTCCTCTTTGAATACAGCTGAACTGCTAACTAACTCATTGACAGAAAATGAGGACAAATGTTTAAAAACAAAACCTCTGCGGCTGACTAGCAAAAGGCACAATAACTAAACATCGTGTTGGAATCCTCCATCAACAAGACGAGGGCTGAGACAGATACATATACAGAGCTGATGCCGCCTGCTAAAGGCCGTTAACCCAACATTGCATTAAAGTGTCAGCACAATGTCACCAAATGTGACCAGCCCTGTACTCCTCAGAGCCAGTCAGAAGGATTCTGCTAGCACTCAGTACCACTGCACACTGAGCGAGAATAGCAGCCTGCTAAGGATCTGCATGTCTGCATACCAATCCTTAGCAGGACTTTTAGCTCCTGCAAGACCAGCTTCTCAAGTGAGAATTTCAGCCATACAAATTCTGCAGCTTAAAAAACCAATAGGTCAAAGTAGTGAAATTTAACTCATGGTGCCTAAACAAATCCTTTGGTTCTCCAGAAGACAAACCAATGACTCTCTTACAGCTTCTTTCATGTCTGAGGGAAAAAGAAAAAACAAATCATGCAAGGCTTGGTCTACATCATTCAGCTACTGGTCCAGAGATTACTGGAGAACAAAGGACAAATGCACTTGTATGCTACTCTACCTGAAGGACCTAAACTGGAAAGGCAGGTCTGTGCAACAGAGAATCAACCTCCCACAGAGCAGCTGAAAGCGAAAAGTGCAACTCAAAGTGCCTTAAGCTACTGCCTTGGTGAGGGACTATCTTTTCAATGGAAATAGCAACCCTATGGAAAGAACCTTCCAGATCTCACCAGCTGAAGGCACAGTTATGAAAATTTATCTGGTATAAAAGCTGAGTTTAAGAAAATTTTTACATCCAAGCTGCCCTTCCTAACCCATACTTACAACCACCTTGAGCAGCAAGGCTGTTCAACTAAGCTTCTGAAATTCACAGGGGGAAAAAAGAAGTATTAAAAGTTCCTGAGGTTCATTCTGGTCAACTGTATCACACTAGGCAGCTGACTGGGATTTTATCAAAGCAGGAGAACATGTGAGGCTGCTAGTCAGGTTAATAGACCCAAAACATCAACAATGGAATTGCCCTAGGATGCCAAGCGGCTTTAGCAATCTGAAGAAAGGAAACAGTGTCCACTTACACTCCAGCTGGGAGGGTGAATTCACTGGCACTTATGAGAAAGTGCGCACATGGCAGAGGAGTACACAAGACTTAAAAGGCAAGTTTGTTTCTAGCTACTGGCCACTTAAAAAAAAAGGAAAGAGTTATTTAGAACTTTAAAACTATTTTGCAAGCACAGTTTTGAACTGACAAAGACACAAACTCAAAAGCATAGTACATAGCACTTACTTGCACTTCACTGTGGGATGAAGCTGGATGACAGGTCCTGCTGTCCCATGAATTTCCTGCTGTCGGCAAATGTTCCTGGGTGGTTTTGCTGCACCAGTCACATAAGCCATTTTTGCTTGCCTGCCTAGTATAGAAGCAAGGAGCAGAGGATACATGACTTTTCATGTCCTTTATGTCCAAAACACTCTGCATTGCTGTCTAGAATCCTTAGTCCAACCAGTAAGGTAAGATTTGTCTAATGCATAATATTTGCAGGATACACCAACATATTGTATTCATGCATTTATTTTTTAAGCAAATTTTAATTTAAGAATAACAGTGTTTGTTCTTGATGATTTCTCCTGGAAGTACAGCATTAGTACTCGCTGCAAAGAAATCACTAAACCAAACATTGTCGAGAATAGCAGAAGAGATTGGGTTTTGTAAATGAAAGAGCAAAACAGAGATTTTACCTTTTGGTTTCTCAGACTGAGCTGAAAGAATATTTTTTGCAAGGATCTTCAGTTTTTCTTCTCTCTGATTAAACAGTCTCCAGTACATTTCACGCCAAGACTCATATTCTAGGAGGCTCTCATTTTTAAAGTCTCTTTGGCAGTGTTTTTTCCACAAGTGATCAGTCTCTTTTATAAACATCTAATTTAAACACAGACATCTTAAATCAGATATTTAAAAATAACATTTTCAAGAGTACCTATTCTCTTGAGCTTATTGATACCTATTGAGCTTACAGACACAATCCAAACCTTTGGTGGAAGAAAGTGCAGAACAAATACCACCACACGTGCTGACACAGGTACCCGCACCGTGGCAATACCATGCAGGGAAACTGACTACAGCCTGGAAATCACACAGCTTCAACCAGCAGAGCTGGAGTCAGTGGACCATGCTTACAGGCTAGACTTGTGTTTACAGCACAGGCTCAGGCCACTCCAGCTCTCAACTTGAAGCACACAGAGGAAAGGCTAATCTGCCTACAAAGGACTGCACACTCAGAACTTCAATATCCAAGTGCAGCATGGAGCTCAAGTCCTGACAGTGTAGATAAGAAAACTACCACATACATGAAATCACACCCCATCTACTTCCTGATCAATATGCTTTGCTGGCTTAATAGTTTGTAACTTGAAAACAGTTGGTTCTGACATTCCCAGCTATTTCAGTGGTAAATACTATGGTCATCTTTTTTTCTTTCTTATTTTTAGAAACAGAAATACTCTTCTATACACACTGTCTTTCACATAGAAATCAGTAGTAATTCTCCTCAATGTTTTAAACTTGAGAAAGAGAGACTTGATAATGACAGATGACAAAGAAGTTAGTATGCAAAACAGAAAACCAGTGCAGCCCATGCATTTGTGGAGCGCTGTGGTTCCCCAAATTTAACAAGGCAGAATTTACCAGATTACATTTCTCTATTCGGAACAACTGCTCTGGTGTGCAACGTGTTAGCACAGGCTCAAGAATTTCAAAGGGCACACCTCCTGCTTCTTGTAGCACTACAAAAGAGGACAGTACTTTCAGTATCTCATTTATTTTACTCAATGGGTAACACCACTCAGTTTAAAAATAAAAAAACACAAGTTAATTTTAGCAAACACTAACACAACATCTTACGTCAGGCTATGAAAATATTTATAAATCAGCAGTTCCATACTGACTAGCAGTTATGAGGATGGATAAAGCATCTTTGAATAGTCATTGCCCCATCTTTACTGATATGCATCATTTCCTCCTCTGCCTATGCAATGAAGAAAATAATGTCTTGATCACAACAAACATGGGGGTAGAGGAGCAGAATTTTTTGTTTATCATTTATAGGACATTATTTTAAGTAAACTTGGACCTTTAAAAGTTGTAAGCTTTCAAAACAAAACTACAGTTTAGCACAGTCATTAATCCATTTCTGTAAGTGCTTTTCACCCTGCTCCAAGTCACCATTTGTAGGGAAGGACAATATATTTTAGTAAGCCAGTGGTTGGCATGGAGAAAAAAAATCTCATACCCTTAAGAGTCACAAGTGCTACAAATCCCCTGAAGTACTCACACTCAATATTGTTATGAAGCATGCGGACACACTGCTCATACAGTGTAAGCATCTTCGAAAGGCAGACTGCCTTGGAGCCAGAGTACACCTGCATTTTAGAGCTCAGTCTCTGTCCTGGGAATTGAACTATCTCATTAACTTGCTGGGGTGCTTCTACAACAGGTACTGCAGATGCTGCAAGCAAAACATCAGGCAGGTTTCACTTAACATTCAGCTCTGAGATAAACATCAATTACTTTTACTTACATATACAAAGTATTTTCTTAATACAAAGTTACTACATTACAGCATGGGACCCTTGCACCTACTGTAAATTGCAAAAGTCAATTCACCATCATCTAACTCCAAGATGTACACTGCAAGTGAGCCACACCAACTCAAACTAGACTTGCTTTATCTCCAGTCTGCATGAGCTGTATTCACAGCTCAATTGCCCTGTTAACCTATCCACAGAACTTTACTAATCCTCCTGAGTTATCTTAGAGAAGCGAGAAGCTGCAATAGCAGCAATGTTTCAATATCCCAGTGGTAGGAAACCACATCAGAAGAGCCACTAGGGGAACCGCTGGTACTTTATGTTACCTACCTATAATGATGCTAGTGCTTCCTATGCCAAAGCTAGACCTAGTGGCTCATATATTTGTTTTACTTAAGATAATTTCTGCTAAGGCTTTGCCTGCTCTAAGGTATAGACAAGAGTAAAGATAAATGGAGCCTGTAGAACAGCCACTTCGTTTATGCCTTCACTAAGTCTGTGGTAACTTTCCTCAGTATTCCTTTACTCAGCAAGCCATAAGGAGAAAAGTCTTATAACTCGCTTTAGCTTCAACATGATTTCCACAGATGAGAAAGTGAGGCCCTTCTTTGCCATGGACTGATGAGCTAAAACAGCTTATTGAAAAAAGGCATAAAACATTTCTACACAGAACTATAAACACCTGTATTATTTCACATTTATCAGTGATATATTACTTACCTGTAAAGTCTGCAGCATACTGGGGAGATGATTCTGAGATGCCTGGCAGAGTTTTAGGTAGAGGAGTATTAAGAAGCTCTTGGAGGGATGCCACTTTGGCCTGTGCACAGTCAAGGAAAGATTGCTTCAATATTATGAATTCAGGGTTAACCAGGGGTTAAAATAAGTTACAATAAACCCCCAAAGATTTATGCAAATTCCAAAATTAACTAAGATATCTAGAATTCTTGCTTTTCTACACTAACATTTACTCATAGGATTACTTTTCAGTATATCCTTTCATACTCCACTTACCATGACTGCACCACAAAAGGAACTTAGTGAGACATCTGCAATTAGCACATAGAAAGATTAAAGAACAGAGTAGATATGTAGAGCTAATGAGCTTTCAGATAAATCACTATCGAGGCATGCAGTGAATGAGGCAAAACTGCAAGATGACAAAAGCATAATTCTAAAAGATAAGAAACAGGTTTATATCTGGTCCTATCAAGTCTCCTAGATCACACTCAGTAAGCCATTTAGCCTAAAACATTCACAGCTAATCCCCTAAAAATGGATTTAAAGATGCAGCAGCCTATTAACTATGGGTTCCTACAAATGGATCAAATGCAACATCTAAATTGGGTCTCAGGTGTCCTCCAACTGCAAGTCAGGCACTTACAGCCCAAAACTTGCATTCCCTGCACTTCATTTAAGTATCTAAAGTAACTTTTCACAAGTGCTTGAATAGCTGAGGTTTTTCCTCAAACAGTTTATGTTGGCGTATCATACATAAGCCTCTACATTAATATTTCCCCATCTGGGACAGAAGATACCACACTCAGATTGCAGATCTTCATAATAAAAAAAAAAGCCTAAAGCTTTCACATCACAGTGAAGATATAAATCTGAAGATAATGCTAATTTTCAGCGCACAAAAGGTCCTCATTTAAAAGGTCTAATTAATACATGGTTTTGCATACACATTTTCTCAGAGGAGCTACTTACACTTTTTGCATTTCAAGGGACTAGGACCAGTCAGAGAATACATATATTTTAAAATAATTAAATATATATTAATACATTATAAGAATATGTATAATCTAGTTTTACGTGCAATAATGCATTTAAAGAATGTTCAGTTCCACTGCAAATGTTAACATTTGCTATTAAAGAACCACATCATATGACAAAAGGACTGTTCTACACACAAAGAGCTGCAGTAGCCACAAACCAGGATGGTCAAGAAATAAAGGTGGACATCTTTCAAAAGGTAACTGCCTTTGCATTTTGCAAGGCAGATTAGTTGGTAAGGATCAAACATTATTGTAATATTGGAAACAACAGTAAAAATACAAGTAATTCAACTGAAAACTGAATCTCTTTTTTCCCTCCGTTATTTTAATTATTGGCAGTTGCAATGTGGCTGATACATCAGTCATGCAATCTGTTCCTTAAAATAAATATAGATAAATTTCAGTGAAATTAGAAGTCCAAAACACTTGTTTGTCTGCTATTATCTCAACCCTGTAGTGGTTTACCTTTTTACTGGGAGTTTCTGATTGATCACTCTCACATTTTTTTACATCTTTAACTCCCTCTTTTGCCTGAGAAAGTTTTGAAGTCTTTTGTAGTAATGAGCTGTTCTTCTCTTCACTGCACTTTTTTGGCCGTGCACCTGTTGAACGAGCTTTTCTCTTTCTTTTGTTGGTATTCTCATCATAAGTAAGATAAGATTCAAAAGACATAGTAGGAGGTTCAAATTCCTCATCACTAGATGATTTGGCTTGGTCTTTCATGACAAGATTTTGTTTTGGTTTCTTCACACGTTTAGGATTTCTCTGTTTGGAAGCACCCTTACTAGGTTTTTCTTTCAGGGGAAATAAGCCTTCATTGGCTGCAGAGGAATGCTGCTTTTTTGAAATTTTCTTGCTCTCTGTGGAGGTGCTCTCTTTGAAGTCACTTTCTTCAGCCTGAGAATTGGTACCCTGGGAAGCATGCATAGAACCACTGCAGCTAGATACTTTATTATCACATTCTTTTGGAGACTCAGAATTAGTACTTTGATGAGTCTTTTCACAACAAATATGCTCCTTATTAAGCTTTGTAGCAATGGGAGCACTGCTGGAACTTCTAAAAGCCAGTACAGATGTTTCAGGTTTCTCTGAAGGATTAATCTCCTTGGAAACAGAAGATTTCATCTCATGTTTTTCTTTTTCATTATTTTTTCTTCCCCTGTGACCACAGCAACAATAGAAAAATTATATTCCATTCTGTAGCTGATGCTAAATTCTTACACAATATCTTTTTCTGATATTAGTAAAACTAAAAGCATAAAATCACACAAACATAGTTTTGTCACATTTTGAAACATGTCATAGTTTCACAAAACCCAGAACTTAGTTCTACACTGTGTTCTTACTCTTCCATTATCAGTACAGAATCACATAAATCTTGGGTGCAGCACTGCTAAATACCAAAACAAGAACTGATAGCAAAACAAGTGGGGAGTAGGGACATAACCCTGAGCAGGAAAACAAACCTAGCAGTACTATCTGCTTACATCATGCTGGATACCACTTTTCACAAAGCTTCCCTGCATGCTTTGTCACAAAGACATGGTGCTTGAAATAACTAGGAGTCAGAAAAATTTACAACATGCTCTGTAGGTGACACAGATTAACAGGCCAGGCTTTATGATTTGTTTATCACAGAGTCTAATATTTTACTTTCCTGTTGTTTGAACTACTTCCGATTTAAAATCCACTGTTTAGTCAAACTATTCCCTTGGCTTTTTCAGCTCAGCTGTTTGGAACTGTTGGAACTCTGTGAAACATCTAAAGCAGAGCAGGTCTGCCCATGGCAGTGGTGGCTGCTTCAGTCTCAGAAGAATCTGCATCGCTTCACTGTGCCTCCTCCAATGTTGGAAGGCCCTCTCAGTCCACAAGAACATTACAAGAAAAACCTCTATACAACCACATCACTGGAGAGCTGCCTCATTTAACCACCACCTCTGGGAAGAAATAGAAAAAGTTTCCCAACTTCCTGAAGTGCACAGCAGTGCCCATCATGGTTTAGTCTCATTTGCACCAGCTGGGACCTGAGAACTTGTGCCAGTCACAAAAAGCAGCTGAAGCCAGGGTGCCAAATGGCTAGTGGTCCAGTAATGGTTTGATTGTTTTCCTCATATTTTACAGCTGCATTCTCATTTCTTGCATTCAATTCAGGTTCCAATCAATTTACATGGGCCATTCCAAACACCTTCCTAAGTTTCCAACCTGTATTTTAAAATTGCACTACAGCACAATTAAGTTTAAGGAAAAAAGTTCACACCTACCTTTTACTTTCTGGAGAAATAAGCTTTTTCCATTGTTTTAACAGACTTTTAGCTACATTCCCAGCATTGGCATGTTCCCTAAAACTTTTAACTGTTTTGTCTATGCCAGTTTCCTGTTGAAGATTGTGCAAGAAAGATGGGCAGAATAAGTCATAACTCTCATCCCAAATAAAATATCCTCTAAAACTACTACAAACAGTCTTAGGCTAGTATTCAGGGCAGTCCTATGGCAGCCAAAGAATGAATGCCCTCTTTATACTGCAAATGGAATTGAAGGAAGTAGTTATTTATAATCAAAATGGGGAACAAAATGCAGGCTTAATTCATAAAACTAAGATAAGTAATTTTCCTCCATTAAATGTACATATTTCAGGAATTTCACTTCTCTCAAATGCTTAAGCCCGCAAAATGCATCAATTCAAATTTCCTTTAGGCTTATGAAGTACATTTGAGCATATTAGAGAGCATGGTGTAATATAAAATACATCTCAATTAGTAGTACAGGGTTGAGAGGTCAGAGCAGCAGAGTTATTTTCACATATCATTGTGTCTTCAAGTCTCATTCTAGTGTGTTTTGTTTAAGCAAAAATATCTTGCAGACTTTTAAGTGTTTGTAGACTCACTGGTGATTTTAATATATTATCAGTAAGCAACTCTGATTCACAAACCCTCACTTTTAAGATGCATGCAAAATATGAACTTCAGTAAGTTCACTGCAACCTGTGAATGCTCTTGCTAACAAGTGGAATTATACTCCTGTGAAGTCTGAGCTATACATGTAACTCCCACATAAAGAGCTCAGCCTCCAGAAAGGGCTTCCTTAAATTAATGTCAAGTATATTTAGCTTGTATATAATTTGAGAAACCTGATTTGTTAAGTCAGTTATTGCAAACAGATGGAAGAAATCTGGTGGGACTACTTCATAAAGCTATTTATGTTCTTCAAATGCATTAAAAATATGTGGAGCGCTCCGCTGTATCACTTTCCTCTATTTGACATGAAGGCTTCCATCAAACTCTATCACATTATAAAGCATGCAAAATTCCTGGGAACACGAATCATCTGCAGAAACCCTTTATCATTTTAAACAACTAATTGCAATATGAGATTATGTATTTTTATTGGAAAACAAAATAAATGCTTTATTTCAGTAGAAGTCTGCTGGTGTCTAGGCAGACAAATGCCTTTACCTGAACAGGCCATTCAAATATCTTGTCAACTATATTTTTCCTCTTACTCTTCAAAGAATTCTCTCACAAAACCCACATTTTTCTTCTTTTCAAAACACAGACACATTGCTTATAATAGCTAGAAGATTCACAGACCAGTATGAGAATATCTAATACAGAATTTGATAGGATGCAGCTTGGATGAGGATAAAAGTCACAGGAATCATTATTGGGGATTCCTCCTCTTTAAATGCAAGAAACTACCTTTGAGCGCTAATGAAAGATGGAAGAGTTAGACAATTGACTTAAAGAATGATTCACCCATATTTGCTTTAAGCATTGATTGAAGGCAGTTTTACACTGAAAAGAAGCCAATCTGATTAGCAAAGTGTCCTCTATATCCTCAGTTCTATCACTGTTGACATAATACTGCATTTATCAAGCTGGATGACCAGCTTTTGAGAAATTAATCTAACCAAATAGGATATAAATTTAAAATTATAATATGTAACATGTTCACCACTTCTACAAATGCACACTCTTGACATTTACATAGTAATTCACTATAGAAGAGTGTAATGTATTATTACTGATCACTTACCACTAAAATATCCAGTGATAAATCCAAACTTTGTAGTACCTTAAGTGTTTTTATAATCTGGAAGGAAACATCAGACTTGCTGTTTTAAACAAATACTTTGAAATCTTAGTCTGTTTTTCTCATCCTCATTCACATATTTAATCCAAAAATACACAATAGTGTTGAAAGGAACATCCAGTAACTCCTGGAAAATGTAAGCACTCCTTTATTGCACATCAGGGCAGTGTTTGCAGTCAGTACTGTGAACTAGTACAGTCCTGCCAACTCTTCAATTTGAGTAACAACAGAAAATCCAGCATGTAGTTTGAATTTACTGCTACAGAGATTACAGCAAAAATCAGCAAGCACACAGTCAGCAGCACTACTCCATCAATCCAGGCCGAGAAAGGACAACATAGCTGGTGCAAGCCCAGACTGCACAAAATAAGGTTTTGAAAACATAACTGCAATTTGAATTTTTACAAAATAAACTGTTTTCTTTTGCACTGTCAAAGCTTACACCTGTTACCAAACTCAAACTTATCTTTCCATAAAAGCAGGAATGATTTTTTCACATACAAAATGCTCAACTTTCTATGAGAAGTGTATTAACAACAAAAAAGTCACATTTATAAGCAGAGTATAAATTTCAACCCAATATACATAATAAATATAACCCAATTTATTTGGCAACAGGTAGCATATAGCACCCCAGAATCTTGCAGCTAACCACACACAGCAAATTTTTCTTATCTTTCTGTTATTGTTTAAGAATGGCATTCCTCAGTTTAGTGTTGCCACTAAAACACTCCCAACCACACACATGAAGCTATGTTATGGAGATGACAGAATTTATGTACAACTGAAATAGCAAGATTTCAGAGGGCTTTCACAAAGTCCAAAATACTAGTCAAGTGTTTCAGATCATTGACATTTCTCAGTGTAACACCAGGGACACAAAAAACGCTACCCAGAAATCTTCTGACAACAAAACCAGCTATATTAAATTAAATTACCAATGAACTGTCATTCATTATATTAGATACTGTTTCTGAAATGGCCTTGCAGGAGGTGGAAGAGGTACTAAAAATGAGTAGCAAGCTCAAAAAAACAATACACAAGTTGCACTCCAAGGGTATATTGCTCTAAGTCTCATTGTTCCTATACTGCATTAGAGTAGTGGAATCCCACATTTGACACTGGTCTTCATTGTGCTCAGTGGGCTCTCTCTCATGCCTGGCATGCAGCTCTTCTGTAAATCATCCACCCTGAAACAGTGCTTCTGAGTCTAGAAAAGCACAGCAGAAATGCTTCACAGCCTGGAAAAATGTGAGACAAGCTAAGACATACAGCTAGGGCCAGAGGTAACAAATCAAATTTCTCCCAAAAAGTTCAGCTAGCTACAAAATGGCAGGATACCTAAAAAAATTAAAAATTAATTAATTTTAAAAAAGCTTCCTCACCAAGATTTTAAAATCAGCACAAAAGCCATATGAAGTTCTGCTTATCTTTAAGATAAGACAATCCCCAAGAAACATAGTAATTGCTCACAATGTTAACAAAGTTTCTAATGCTTGAGATGATCAGTGTCAAGTTAGTTCACTTTTATTTAATTAGACTATATATCCTCATTGATTCAATTTATTTTGCAATGAAAAAGGAAGTAACCCAATGCTGACACGTTATATTGTGATATTTACCATGTCTAGATAATCAAGCAGTGCAAACCACTGGGAATAAATCCCATTTATTTTGCCAGAGACAAACCTACTTATGGAAGAATAAGGGATGTTTTCATCAAGATGCAGAGAATAGGGGCTTTGAATACTTTCTCTTGATGGATTTTGGATTTAGTTAACTCATAAAGCCAAGTTTATTTCAGAAGAAAAAATTCAGGAAGCAGGCAATTACTACTCACACAACTTCAAGCCAACCATCTAAATTACAAAAGTACCTAGATGACAAGCATGTTCAAAAGCAGTCAACACATTTTAATGAAAAACAAAACTTTCAAGGTTTCTAAACTACAGACCTCACTGCTCATTTTTGTTACTTGAAATGTATATCACATTTGGAAAATTAAGACAAATAACACTGTTTCATTTTAAACATTAGAAAAAATGGATCAGACACACTGATAAGGTTTTTAGAAGTGATACCAACCATTTAGAAGCAGGGAACAGCTCAGGCTGCAGGGGAATCAGCAGCTCTGCACATACAGGGACTATACAAGACTCTGTTCTCAAACTGGACAAAGTAAATGGCCGCATCCAGTCTGCCAGTAGGAATCACATCTCCAAGTTCTTGGGATTTAGAACCAAACTTACTTACAGCCACAATCAGGAAATAAGAAAATATAATTTGTGTCAAGCACCTGCAGCAGCAGAGAAACTTTGTGTTTATCCTATTTGCTAGATATCTCCAATTTCTCTACCAAAGACAAAGCACAAATACCAAGCTCCAGTATCTATTGGGCTTTGGAGAAAGGTACACTGTGAACCACAAGATACAGTAAAGTCTCTCACCAAAACCACAGCTTGCTAGAAACCTAACTTTGTTGTCATGATACCTATATAGAGTATACCATTATAATTATTGCATAAACTAAGGCAAAATTATTAAGTCTGTTCTGAGAAGGCCTTCAAAAACAAAATAAAGACTGACTATTGAGCGATCTTTCTGTAACCATTTATTTCACTATTGAGGGATCTTTCTCTAACCATTTATTTCACCACAGCATTTTTGGCCTATCTGGCTCTTATCTCACTGGAGTGGATCTGGCAATTTCTTCAGGGAAGACCTTCCATATACACACAACACATATGTAACACTCCGCTGGTTTTCAGACTATTTTACCTCACTATCAGCTATATCCTCATGGAAAAACTCCATCTACTCTAAAAGTGACTAAACTTCACAGGAAAATTTTGAAGAAAATTTATCTTCATATGCAATTCCTAGACTAGTCTACGTAATTCCTAAATACTGATTTATAAAGAACAATCAAAACCCTACAGTGCAGGGGTTTTTTTCCCATAAAATACATTCCAAGTAAAACCAAGACTTAGGTCTTCATGCAATATAAACAGGCAAAGCCTTATGGACAAACAGAGCTGGCACCCACATAGTGGTATGAGACAAAAAGCAAAGATGACAGTAGGAACAAAAGCAAGCAAAGATGCAGGGAAGAAGGGAAAGCAAGGTGGAATCTGGAAAGCAGAGACCACTGGTAATAAGCAATGGGAAAGAATATAAGCAAACAAAATTCACCTAAGCTGTTCACCTAAAACAATTCCTAGTTTTGTTTTCAGCTACTAAATCTAATGATTTGTTAATTACACTAAAGGAGCTTTCTTCCAATCATCTTACACAATACAGAAATAAATGTAAATGCTAATCACACACTTTACCTTGGCTCTTTAGTTTCATTAAGTTATGCTAGCCAGAGCTACAGCCAATCTCTGGCTATCTCATTATGGTTCCAGCTAGGCCAGTGTTGTTTTTAAAAACAGTCCTCAGAACAGGACATAATATTCCTGTAATTGTCCTTCTAATGCCATATAGCAATAATAACATAACCCTGCTAAGCTACCCAAAGATAGCATTTACTCCATAAGCCACTGCACTCTACTGCAATTTCATGCTCAACTGGCAATACATCAGAGCTCCAAATCATTTTCTGAGTCAATGCTTTCCAAAATACAGTCTCCTATTCTGAATGACCTATATTCATAGCTCCTAGCTGTGACTTTCCACTGAGCCATGGGAAAACATGTGTTGCTCAAATGAACGTAGTCTACCACATGATCAAATTTGGTTTCTAGAAGGGATTCACTTTATTTGATACAAATGACTTTAGTATGTGCAGCATTTCCCTACAATGTTTGCTGTCTTCTAAATTAAGGAAGTTTCAGCAGCATCATGTCACAAAGAGAGTGCATAATCACTCTCCTACCCCTCCAAAAAACCACCACACACTCACAACCCAACATTGTTTCCTTATGAGGTCTGGCACTTATTTTTGGCTAGTGCAACTGAAAAAAGTTTAATGTATTATATCAGGCCCGTGACACTGCTGCTCTAATCAACATCACACAGAAGCAAGTCCAATGCCTGGAAGCTTGCATACATTCACAATTAGTGCCAGCCAAATACAATTTGAGATAGATTTGGCAGAATGCATCTAAGTAACATCGCATTGAGTGGTATGGATCACGGTATCACCCTTCAATTCTACATCAGGTACATCTTAACATCATGCATCATTCCTTTATGGTCAATGCCAGTGAAGACCATTTCACTGACCTTTAACCTAGCACAGTACTTTTTCCCCTGCCTTCCCTAGAACCATAAGCAGCACTCAACAACTGTTCTTTCCTTTGTCAATTCTCTGAAAACTCAGTGGGTAGCTATCAAACCTCACACATCAAGAAGCTTTTGAAATGGACAACTGATGTTCTGCGTGGTTATCAAAAGCTTTTTAGCAATATTAAAAAGTCCAAAGACAAATAATATTCTCAGTAGGGAACAGGAGTATTTGAGAACAATGCTTGCCTACATACACATCTGTAATATTGATTTATAATTCTTTTTACAAATTTCTAGAACTCTCCTCTTTGCCTTTAAAGATGCTAACCACATAATTTCTCTTATTAGATTCAACTTCTGTTAGGAGTACCTTTCATGACTGCCAATTTACAGCTATCAGTTCCTCACTTTCCCTGCCACTCCTTAGGCCAGGTTACCCATAAATACTTCTATTTCACTAGACAGTTTTACCAGTGACAGAAGTGCTGCAGCACCACCATTAGCTCCATTTTATACAGCACCTACTTGCAGCTATGCTACACAAAAACAGTGTCTCTCCTGCCTTAATGAATCCAAATTAGCCAGAGTTGTTCTGATTTTTCACTCTAGTAGAATGCTTTGAAACTTACTGGTTTGGGATCACTTAAAAACTTATTGCCTCTAGAATTGTTTATTTTCTTTTCCTTTGCTACCTCTTGTTCAAATAGCATATCAACACTAATCCCAAGTACAAATTCAGACACTGTAGCATAGGAAGAGATCTTTGGTTAATTGAACTGCAAATTAAAACTTCTAAAGAAGCACCTGCATAGATATTTGCATTTTAGACAGATGTTGTCTACATCACAGGCACTCAAGAAGATAAGCCATTATTGGCTATGAAAACCAGTATTTCTTCTATATGCATACACACATAACATTGAAAACACACTGTAGACATGATTAATAGCTAAGATTCTCAGCAACTACCAAACACAATGCCATTTTTACTGGCGCCCTCTGCCTCCAACCACAAACTTCTATCAAGTTTTAATGCCTCTGAAGCCCATAAAGGTAAAAGCATCCTATATTTTTCAAAGCAAATGTGACCCTCCAAAAAATAATTTAAAAAAAAAAAACAAAAACAAGCAGAAACCACATCACTGTTTCTAATACACCTTCTTCAGCCAAATGTAATTTATTGTTTAATAGAACGTTGAGGTCAATATTGGCACACGCTACTTTGCTTCTATTTCCTCGGGAGCGCCGGCTGCTGCTCAGAGAGCGGGGCGTGCCTTGCTCCCCTCAGCCCCTCAGCCCGGGGGGTCCCCTCAGCCCCTCCGACGGCCGGAGCAGCCTCAGCACCTGCTCTGATCGCGCTCCCCAGCTGTCCCTCACTACCCCTCGCAGCTCCTGAGCAGCCTGGCCACCCTACAGGGGCTGTTTCGGAAGAACTGCTCAGTCCTCCCTGGACCAGGAAGAACAAGGCAGGGCGTGACACGCCCGGCTCCTCTTTGATGCGTGCCGCTAAAATCAAGCAGCAGCGCGTATTTCTCACAGAAGAGCTCGTATGAAGACACAAATAACAGCTCAGCAGCTGCCGCGTTTGGTCTCCCGCCCGGGTACCTCCGCGGGCTGCTGCGCAGAGCGCAGCCGCTCCTGCAGCTCCAGCAGCCTCCGCGCAGCGCTCCGCCCCTTCTCCGCCATGACGCCGCCGCGCCGCCGCTCCGCCCCTGCTCCGCCTCGGCCTCGGCACCGCCAGCGGGGCTCCTGTGCCGCCGCCCGGCGTTCTTGTAGCCGCGCCCCATCCGCCATTGGCCGTTCCTGCCGGCCGGGCTGGTTGTTGGCTGCCCGGCTGTCAGCACTAGCAGCGGGCTGTGTGCTTTTCTCTGCCTCGCCGGGCTCCATGTGAACGCAGAGCGCGGTGCTGAGCAAACCCAGCGCAGCCGGGGCGAGCCCGCGGGGACGGGCCAGGAGCGGCCCGGGGAAGGCCGCGGCGCTGAGCGCTGTGTCCCCGCCAGGGCGGGCAGCCCCGGGCGGGCCCGTGCTGCGTGCGGCAGGTGGGACACGGACAGTGTCACTTGCTGCGCCACATCTGTCCTGCTAGCTGCCGCATGGCATCCCTGGTGGCTGTGCCTGGCAGCGAGGCTGCCTTGTGGAAGGGTGTCTTGTGCTGGGGCAGTGAGGCCGAGCTATCCGTGAAGCCGCGACTGGCGGCACTTCTGGGCCCGGCAACTTTCAGCAGGGCTATCCCATGGATTACCTAAAAGGTTTATGACAAGGAGTCAGTCTTTGCGCTGTCTGAACTGCGCATCTGAAGCGAGATCTTTGCCATGGAGCTTGCCAGGGCTGAGCATGTGCTTGTAAGACTCCCAAGATGAACGAGTCCCTCCTAAAGATGTGTAATTGCAGAATTTCCTGTGAAGTTACTGTAGATGTAATAATAACAGGTACACAGAACACCTTTCACTCATTAAAGTGGTGTTGGAGGGAAGTGTTTTAAAAAAGTGCCTCCAGTCTGAACTACTACAGAATTTTAAGTAGGCAAAAGTCTGGTGTTTGCATGTTAGGATTGCTGCTCTTGCAAAATAGATCTTATTACAGCTTGGCACCCTTTATAACAAATTCATCAGCAGAGAAACCAAAATAGCTGATAGGCAATACAGTAGGTAGAGCACTCCAGTTGGAAATGGAAAAAATAAATCCAGGTCCCTGGTGCAGACTGTCTCTCCAGGTACCATACTCATGTTTTTATTTTACAGAAATAATTAACTCATCTTCACAGAATGCAGAGACTTCATCAACCCTACCTTAAAATAGGCCATTCCCAGCTAGTCACTCTTCAGTTTTCTGGCCCAAATAGTATAACATTATTTATACAGAGTAGCATTCATGCAGAAGAAATCTTTGGAAAAATTCAGCCCACACCAGCATTATGATTAAAGTCATTATTGAGTGGGGAAATTGAGGGTCAGATTGTCATATGGATTATGTAATTGAAGCTGGAATTCCCATATGTTGTTTGAAAGCCTAATTATCAAACTACTGGATTTCCTGGGATGAGGAAGATGTTCTTTCTGCCCAATTATTCTGAAAGATCATTATTTCATGACAGCAAAAACAAAATTTAAAATCTTAAAAGTTTTCCTAGAACAAGAAAAATATTTTTAGCCCAGACCTAACAAGCATTTTTCATGTTGCTTGTCATAAGTGCCAAGAGGAAAGAATTCATGTTTACTCAGTCCTTCAAAACTGCAGTCAATGCTAATTATTACAAATATTTTTTTGTTTGGCATTGATGCATGACTGCTCTTAGGAAGAAGTGGGCTTGACATACACACAAATATTGCTCCAAAACTTGTTCTGACACTGCATGCTCAAGGGGTGTGTTGTACCATCAGCTCTGCTGAAGGCTTGCAAACGCTCTTCTAACCTTTAAGGACCTCCCTATGCCCTATTGCCAGTGCTTAGGGAGTTTCCAAGGAAAGACTGAAACCAGAAAGAGGAATACGCTTTGTCTGAGCTCAGGAGAAGAGCCTGGTGAGAATTTCAGAGGATGGATCAATGAGGCTTGACTGGCAAAACTAGGCAAGGAAGTGGGGGGAGATAATCAAGTGCAGGGAGAGGTCTGTGACCCACTGGGGCTGGGTGCCTTGCTGAACACAGGAACTCAGAGCCACCTCTGTGAAACCAAGCCCCGTGCATTTGTTCCTAACAATGTTGTTTTTTACATTAATTCAACAGCTTAAAAAACCCCTACATTTCTTTTCCATCTCTTTTTTTGAAAAGACTGCATTTCCCACTGAAATTCAGTATGTTTTCACATTTACCTCCTGTCTGCATAAGGAATTTCACCCTTCCTAAAGGCATTACTGGTGTGACTAACCAATACATTCAGATTAGTGCATTTGAAGATCCACCCGCAGCCCCTGGGGATCCACAGGGAATGCAGAGATCCACCTGCAGCCTGTGAGGCAGGTCCCCACACCAGAGTAGGTGAATGCCTGGAGGAGGCTGTGATCCAGTGGAAGACCCGAATGGAGAGGGAGAGCCCCTGCTTCCAGGCTGGAGCAGCCTGTCCTTGGCGGACTGCACCCCTGGAAGAGTGACCCACGTGGCAGCAGGTTTGGGAGGACTTTGCCCGTGGGAGAGACTCACATTGCAGCAGTTTTGGGAGAACTGCTGCTCATGAGAACCACGCTGGAGGAGTTAATTAAGTTGCTCCCTCTCCCGTGGGAGGGACCCCACGGCCTCGCAGGGGATGACTCCTCTCCTCGGGTGATGAACTGATGAAACCCCCATGCCCTGACTTCCTGCGCTGTCGGTGAGAAGGAGGGAGGGGCTGGGGGGGGGAGGGAAACAGTGGTTTAAGGTCTTGTTTTATGTCTGGTTACCCTCCTCTGATTTTGCTAGTAATAAATTCACTTTACAACTTAAATTGAGCTTGGTTTGCCCTTGAAATATTTCTCCCGGTCCTTATCTCACTCATGAAACCTTCATTATTTTTGTCTCCTCTGCCCAGCTGTATCAGGGAAGGCGAGCAAGCGACTCTTATGGGTGCCTGGCATTTGGCCAGTATCAAACCATGACAACATAGTTGATGGAGACTCCCTTTTTGAAGGAAATCATAAGGAAAAGGTGAAGGGGGATGGCTACAAATTACTCCTGAGAAGATTACGATTTGACACAAGAAGAAAAATTTTCACAATGGTAATATAATCTCCCCAGGGAAAACTAAGTGGTGGATTCCCCAAGGTTGGACACTTGTAAGATTTGCCTGAAGAGGGAGCTGGGCCATGTTGTCAAGACAATGCTATTGCCAAGAAAGGTGGGACCAGGTGATCCTTGGTATTCCTTCCAGCCTGGTATTCTGTGATTCTACAAAAATGAGGCTTTGTCCTTAGTTTTTCGTAGCTGTGGCCCTATTTTTCAAAAGGAAAGCTGGTTGTCTTGTTGCTGTTAGGAGGGCTGAGCCTTATGTCCCTCTCATCCACTCTAATTTCACACATTTGACCGACTCTAATTTCCTATTCTGTTTTTTCATTCTTGCCTCCACCCACACAGCAATGCCCTTGTGTTCAAAATGACAAGAATTACTTTGCAGTGGTTGTTGTAAAAGCCCATCTGAGCCTGAAGGCAGCCAAATAAATCTATATGATTAAGCATTATACAAAGCACAGCCAAAGGAAAATCTTCCTGTTCTCAGACTTCCACTTCCCCCAGTACTCTTCCCTTCCCTTGCTCACTTGCACTCTATTTATCTCTCTCATGGGATTAAATTGTCCTGGGATGTGGAGGTTTGGCTTTATATTACTCCTGAGGATACCTGGTAAGGATGCAGAGATAAATTATTCCAGTGTATGGTATAACCCCCCAAGTCAGGATACACACATGAGAGACAGAAGATCAAAGTTCACACCTTTGAAAATGTATCATGACGTGAGCCATAATCTTTGAGAGCTGTGGCAAGTCTTTATGGAAGCAGTGATTTAACTCCACAAAACAGAACATGACTGAATCCCCATCAGCTGGTCTCCTTTCCTCTGCCTGGAGTTAAGCATGGAAAATCTAAGTGTAAGGTGCCAGAATTTCTATGGTGTTTTCTGTAGGTTATTCTAGGTCATAGAATAGTAATAATCATTGAATGGGTTTTGATGGGGCCTTCAGAGACCATGTAGTTCCAACCCCCCTGCCATGGGACATCTTCTGCTAGACAAAGTTTTTTAGAGTTCCGTCCAACTTGGCTTGAACACTTCCAGGGATGGGGCATCCACAGCTTCTCTGTGCAACCTGTTCCAGTGCCTCACCACCCCCATCATAAAGTGTCTTCCTTATGTCCCGTCTAAACCTGTACCCTTCCCTAACCATAGGGCATTCACCCAGGCTCCCAGCTGGGAGCTGAACCCAGTGGTTCACCCTGCACTTACCTGAGGCAGTTATTACCTGCTGCAGTTATCTTCACTTTCTCCTCCCTTTCCTCCCCTGTACCTGTGCATTTGCAGGATCCAGGCTTGTCCTCCCGAGTTCCAGTAGCCAGGCAGCCCAGGGAAGCTGAGCTCCTGTGGCTGGGCAGAGGCAGGGAGCAAGGCATGGAGAGGAGGGGTCATTTTAAAGAGCACCCGAGCACAGGCTCCGGTCGAGAGCTCACTGTGACAGTGAAGTGCCTCACTGAAAACCAGTGAGCTGGGGCTTAAGTGGCCTCTGATCTTCCTCACTCTTTTTTCCCCACTCTTTCTGTGTTCGCATTTTCCAAGGAAGAGGCATTTTCAAGGACAGCTCTGGGACAGTATCTTTCTTAGGAGGGTAAGAGGTTTTTAACTCCTCACTTTGATAGTTTTTAGAAAGTGGCATTTTAAAGCAGGGGGGAGGCTGGTTGGTATAATGCATTATTTTGGGACCCCAAGTGTTCTTTGGCATGACTGACACTTAAGCTAAAATAAAGTAGGTGAAAGCAAACAATCATAGAAAACCAAATCTCTCAGGGTTTTCAAAGTTCAGTAACTCGGTTTTATTATAGGATTGTTTGATTTGTTTCAGTAGGTTTGCATGTCCTGTCACTTGCAGTGCTTGTACACTAAGCTGGCTTGTGAAATTTCTGCTGATGAAAAAGTGTTTCTCAGGAAAAAACTTCGGATAGTGAGCATTTTTGAACAGAGAGCTTAAAATGTTGCATTTAAATCAGCTCTACAATGAGGCAATAAGCATTAAGTGCTACATGTTTTAAAAATTTTAAGTTACAAGTCTCAGAAAATACTTAGAACAACAATAAGGCTGCCAAAATAATATGCCCTCGCCAATTTTAAGATTGTGACTATTAATATACAAAGCTATAACTATGTGTATAACATAAAAAGTTATCCAAAAGATTTGTTTTGCTTCTTTTTCATGCCAACAAATATTTGCAACACTTGCAACATCATCGGGTTTTTGCAACAAAAGTTGTGTTACAACCAAGTGTACTAAAACACCAGCTATATCTTCAACTGAACCTGTCTTAAAATGGCAAGCTGCTGGGAGGTTGCTATTCTGGGAGGTGACTCTGATAGGTCTCAACAGATGCAGCCCCTGGAATGCAGGCAGAGCGGAGGAGCCGGGCAGCAGCTGACCCCTGTGCTGGCACACTGGCATATCAGGGATCACAGCTCACGTCAGCACAGGCTGACACCGACACTCTGGGCACACATGGCCTCTCCCTCGCCTGCTCTGCACATGGCCGGCACCCAGCAGCAGCGGCAGCAAAAAACTGCTGGGGCTCACAGGCAGCAACCATTCCTTTCTATAATTAAATTGCCATTTTGTTACATGCTCTGTGCTTAAGGAAGAAATTATGTGCTGAGATTCTAGATTGAAATATTACTGAAGTATTTTGATTTAATTATCTACAATAAACCAGTTATGTGATTTATCATTAATTAGCATTTTTTCATGTTTGAGATTTTATGACTGCAAGGATCACAAAGTAAATTAGCATGTGTAAATTGTTTTAAAATCAATGGATATACTGGAGTTAAATACTGTGTTTAAATCTATTTGAATGCTGATCTCCACCATTCTGTTTAAATTGGGTTACTGAAGATCAGTGCTTTCTTTCAAGTATATTTGCACATACATGTATTTGTTCAAAGTAACTCCTTTGTTACTAGCGGCTGTCTCACATCACATTTGACAAAAATGTGGCTCTTTATTTCATTGAGAGCTCACCTAGAGTTGATATATGTCATTCAAATATGTGTTCTAACATAACTATGGGATTGAGTCTTACCTTCCCTATGCAGAACTTGTTTAAAATAACACATCCTGATAGAGTGTGCGTGACATTTTTTCAAATAGAAGTTAAATATCTTCTCCCTAAATCGCTACAAAATCCTAAAAGTAGGATTATAGATTTCAAATTACTGATCCTGCAAAGTGATCAAAGTATGCTATGAGCAGAAAGTATCTGTGCATCTGACAGAGGAAATAGAACACTATCAGTCTATAAAACCAAAAGTTACAAAAACCTGGAAGCAGTTTCAAGCAGGACCCAAATCTAAAATCAATATGGCATCATATCAAAATCCTCTTGCTCTTTATGTCTCATCTGGCTTTTGTTTCTTTAAGAATTTTTCCCATTTGTAATATTTCCTCGTCAAGTACTGAACTCATTTGTAAGTCTGTAGCAGCGCTGTAGTAAGGATGAATAAAGTTGGGTGTCCGTATCTTTCCTGTGCTTCAGGCTAATGGATTCACGTCTAGAACCTGTCTGATCTAAATAAGTATATACAAAATTCTACACTCTGGCAAACCCATTTAGAGAATTTAACTCTCTGAATGTTGTGATAATATGTGAATGTTAACTTATGATCTTGTTATTTAAAACAAAAAGGAATTACTGAATTACTTGTAGGTATATTCTTCACAGTTGGAGTATTAATTGTTATTAATAAGCAGCCATGCTGCAACCTAGAATTTAGGAAGACAGATTATCCTATGTGTTTGGTTTTGTGACATTATATGTAGTGACAAAGATTAGATTTGTTGCATAATCACAGTTATTAAATTTCACAACTGTGGTGTTTAATTTTATTTTTAGCAAGTGTTTGGCTGTAATATTTCATTGCAGTCATGGCCCCTAAGAAGAAGAATGTGAAAAAGAACAAAGCAGATATCAACGAAACTACTATCATTGTGGAAGATGGACCCCTCGGTAAACTAAATGGCTTGAATGGACTCTTGGAAGGAGGAAATGGTTTCAGCTGCATCTCGTCTGAGGTTTCTGACCCATCATACTGCCCAAACCTCTTGGAAGGTCTAACCAAAATGAGACAAGAAAACTTCCTTTGTGACTTGACTATCAGTACCAAAACCAAATCATTCAATGTTCATAAGGTAGTGATGGCTTCAAGCAGTGAATACTTTCACAACATCTTAAAGAAAGATCCATCTACTCAAAGAGTGGATCTCAATGATGTGTCCCCAGTGGGTCTAGCTACTGTTATCACCTATGCTTACACTGGAAAACTTACTCTCTCACTTTACACAATAGGTAGTATCATTTCCACAGCAATTTATCTACAGATTCACACCCTTACAAAGATGTGCTGTGATTTTCTAGTCCAAGAAATCAGTGTTGAGAACTGCATGTACATTGCCAATATTGCAGAAACATACGGACTAAAAACAACCAAGGAAGCAGCGCACAAATTTATTAAAGACAACTTCATCGAATTTTCAGAAACTGATCAGTTCCTAAAACTTACTTTTGATCAGATTAATGAACTTCTTGCAGATGATGACTTACAGTTGCCTTCTGAGATTGTTGCATTCCAGATTGCAATAAAATGGCTGGAATTTGACCAAAAAAGAGTAAAGTTTGCTGCCAACCTCTTAAGTAACATCCGTTTTGGTACCATCTCAGCCCAAGACCTTGTCAATTATGTTCAAACTGTGCCAAGAATGATGCAAGATGCAGACTGCCATAAGCTCCTCGTGGATGCCATGAACTATCACTTGCTTCCCTATCACCAGAATACACTTCAGTCCAGAAGAACAAGGATCCGTGGAGGTTTCAGAGTCTTAGTTACTGTTGGGGGACGCCCAGCTCTAACAGAAAAGTCTCTCAGCAGAGACATCTTATACAGAGATCCTGAAGATGGATGGAAGAAGCTAAGTGAGATGCCTGCTAAAAGTTTTAATCAGTGTGTCACAGTGATGGATGGATTTCTCTATGTGGCTGGTGGGGAAGACCAGAATGATGCCAGGAACCAAGCCAAGCATGCAGTCAGCAATTTCTGCAGGTAACTGCTATTTCTTTAAAAGAGATGTAAATATCTATTCCACAGAAAGCAGGTGGATAAATGAAGCTGGCTTGTGTCATGCAATTTGAACCACTTGGATAAAGAGAAAGGGGACAATGTAGGGGAGGTATAGATGCTATTCTATATTAAACTTTGAATGAACAGAAATATACAACTGAAGGTATGCAAAAAATTTTACCATGGTTACACATGAACACTGAGAAGTGAGGAAAAACTGAGAAAATTTATTCCAAGTGAAGGAAATAGATAGGAACATAAATAGGAAGTCATGGGATGATCTAAGGAGACTTCTCAAATTTTCAGAAGTTTTTGATGCCTCACAGAAAGTTTGGAAAAACACCTTTTAGATATTATAGCCTTCACTTTCTATTCACCATTCCCCATAGTTTCAACAGCATTTATATTGAATTTCATATCCTCTTTTTTTTAATTATTATTATTATCATTATTATCAAGAGTTTAAAAACAATGGTACCAATGCTTGAAGGCTGTCTTTTACAGTGTACCCCAAATAATACCTTGCTTCTAAAATTTTGCAGTTCCTGTCTATAGTCATCCGAGACTGCACTGGTGATAGCAATGTCAGAAGAGTGCATACATTAGCATGCAATGTCACATGGGCAGTAGTAGTTTTTCAATAGTTCAGTCTAAAAGCTGGCAGTGCACAGTAGCTTGAAGCAAAGGCTGGGGGTGGGAAAAGTTTTATCTGCCTTTTATCTGCTAACAGACTATGGACATGCAATGGCATTACACAGCCACAGTCCTAACAATGCTTCCTTTTCTCTCCCAGAAGGAACAGTCCGCTTCTCCTGAGGACATCAACCAGTACACAAAGTTAATGAATGATGAACATTCTCTAAATCAATTTTATTGTGTAGTCTACTTTGTCATAAAAATATCTGCTCTCTTGACCTTCTGCCCTTAAGCTATGCCTCACATTGTCACAAGGAGTTGTGTCCTCAGTTGGTTGCAGGGAGAAGGTGAAGGAATCCTCACTGTGCCTTTAACCTTAAGCATGTCAAGTCACATAATGTGATGTCACTATGTCTGTGGACTTGCAGATGACAATGCTGAATGACAATTAGTATTTACTTTCCCATAGTCTTTTTCTCATGTGATTCTCTGGTCCCCTTAGCATGCAACAGAAGTGTGGGTCCACTAATATACTTCACACAGCATCTTCAGGAGTCATAATTTGCCATTTCCTACTTCAAAATTGCTCATTTAAATGTCAAGGACAAAGAATGTTATTTCAGCTAGGAATGGTGTTAGAAAGCACAGATGCTCTTTTCACATAAAACTTACTCCATGGGAGTGGCGAGGAAAGCATACTCACAATTTAGAAAGCACGAAGAGGATGCAAGTATAAATCACAACCTCAAGTTTTCAAAAACTCTCTGAGTAAATTTAGACATCTTTTCTGTGGGTGTAAATTGCAAAAGAACTTCTGAAATTTGTATTGTATCTTGAAATTATCTCTTCCCAGTATTCTAATGAGGTTATTGTACAAAATCAAATTACAGGAGAATCAGATTTACTTCTTTAAAATAATCCCAGGTTTGAATGATACAAAAATATTTTTTCTCCCATCAAAAGCTAGATTTATTTTGAAATTTAATCAGGAATACCAGTTTCTTTATGCTGACCTTTAATAGGCTAACTAACTAACTACAATTCTAGCAACTTTGCTCTTGCAGCAGTGGCATAGGAGTCCTGTATAATTTACAGAGCAGTACGTAAGACTGTTACCTTCTTTTTTGAATTCTTTCAGATATGACCCTCGTTTCAACAGCTGGATTCACTTGGCAAACATGAATCAGCGGCGCACCCACTTCAGCCTGAACGTGTTCAATGGCCTCCTCTTCGCAGTGGGAGGCCGCAACTCCGAGGGCTGCCTCTCCTCTGTCGAGTGCTACGTGCCTGCAACTAATCAGTGGCAGATGAAGGCCCCGCTGGAGGTGCCCCGGTGCTGCCATGCCAGCGCAGTGGTGGATGGCCAGATCCTGGTCACGGGAGGTTACATCAATAACGCTTACTCTCGCTCAGTGTGCATGTACGACCCCAGCAAAGATAGCTGGCAGGATAAGGCCAGCCTCAGCACCCCAAGGGGCTGGCACTGCGCAGTGTCCCTTCTGGAGAGGGTCTACGTGATGGGTGGGTCTCAGCTGGGGGGGCGAGCGGAAAGGGTCGACGTTCTCCCTGTGGAGCGTTACAGCCCGTACACGGGGCAGTGGAATTATGTGGCGCCACTTCAAACTGGAGTTAGCACGGCTGGTGCCTCCACCCTTAACGGGAAAATTTATTTAGTGGGAGGCTGGAATGAAATAGAGAAAAAGTACAAGAAATGCATTCAGTGCTATAACCCAGACCTCAATGAATGGACAGAGGAAGATGAGCTGCCTGAGGCCACGGTGGGCGTATCTTGTTGTACTATATCCATGCCCAACACCAAGACAAGGGAGTCCAGAGCTAGCTCAGTTTCTTCTGTCCCAGTCAGTATCTAAAGACAGGTCTAACCAGCAATAAGTAAAAATGTTTACCAGCATGGCAATATAATTAACCCTTTAAGTAGAATTTTTGTGCTTATATAGAAAAAAAAAACCATTGGCTTTGCAAATGTGCTTTGTAACAGTGCAGACTGGCCAGTTTTCATGAACTTTAATACAGGTGGCATGCAACAGCACATTAGGGATAAGATGAATTTTCTTAGCAGGAAAAAAGAGTTAACTCAAAACCAGAGAATTTCATTCTCTTCCTGACTTTGCCACTGACTTACTATACTATCTGTGGCAAATCATTTAATTTCTTTATGCCTTGGTTTCCTTACCTGTAAAATTGAGATAAACTTGCTTCAGAAGATTGTTATGAGGTTTTTTAATACTAAGTTTTAAACACTTTCAGAACCCAAAATGAAAGTCAAATATGACTAGTAATAAATTTCAATATCGATCAGAAATGTGCCATGTCATTATAACATTGATAAGTTTTGTTCTTTTCTAAGCATTTCTAAGAAGGGGAAAAAAAGACAAACCAAAAATACCACACATAACATGTGCATACTTTCCTTTTGGTGCAGGGTATTCACAAAAACTTCTCAAAGCATTTTCTCTTTCAGAAGGTGGAAAGAGTTCCTCATCTTCTGCCATTAAACCCTTTAATTCCTATATCAAATACTGTGACATGGCTTTCAAGATCTGAATCCACAAAATACTTTAGCTCCCATAGGCACTATGGGCCAGCCCCAAGGGGGTGCTTTGGGTGCCAGATGGCTCTCCTGACCTCTGTTTACACCAGGGAACATCACCTCATCCTCCTCCTCATGCCAGGGAGACACACCTCTCATTCCAGGTGGAAAAACCTGAAAGCCGAGTTTGTGCCAGGAGACACCAAGGGCTAATGTCATCTGAACATGGGGAAGATGCACAGAGCAAACTCCCTTAAATTACTCAAGCGAAAAAACAGTGGAATGAGGAACAAAGATGGAAAAAAAGCTTCCGGATCTGCCCTTTAGAATTTATGTGGGAAACAGGAAATCATGGGAAAACTCCCTTAGTAGAAATAAAGAGATACCTTAACATCTTTCTTGCCAGGTGTAAGAACAACAAAATCCAAAGTAACCTTCTCCTGGGCACACCATTATGCATCTCCTTCTGAAGCCTTCATTACAGCCCCTTTTTTGGAGATTTCATTCATGTTATTCCAAAGGCTAGACTAATGATCTTTGTGTTTTCCCAGTGAGTAGAGTGGAGTCTTCACTCAACTTAGTTTGCCTCCAAGAAGTTTTCTTCCTGATTTCAGCATGAGGAGTGGGAATTAAGCATGAAACCTAATCCTATTCCCATAGCCAAAGGGATATGCAGCCCATCATGTCCCGTGAAGATTTGATACCAAAGGACTGTTGTCAGCACAAAATATCTACATGAGCACAAAATGTCTACATATGTCTACATCCTTCTTTTGGGGAGGAAAGAGGGAAGGCAATGAATTAAAATGATTTATTATAACCAGAAGGTCACTCACCTTAATCTATTCATGGAGGTTTCACATTCAGTTTCCTCAGATTATCATTGACACCTCCAGGCTTCAGTGCCAATGAGAAGCCATGCTCTAACGCTTATAAGGCATACAAACTTTTAACTCATTTGCAAAAAGGGAACATTATAAAATTGTCTGACAGTGCAGATGTTGTTGAGACAAGCATTTTCAGGACCCAAGCTTTTTGTAGCTTTGTTAAAGCTGCATATTGAGGATCAGCATGAGCGTGACATGGTAATAGAGATGAAGTAATTCACTCTATCGGTTGGGATTAAACTCCATGGTACTCAGTCCTGTTTTCCAGTTCTAACTTAGAGTTCATCTTTGCATCCTGACTACACAATTTTAAATTTCAAATTGTATTTTTGAGTGCTGCCTGATATTAGAATATACTGCCACCAATGACTTGTGTTCAGAGTAGCACTGTCATACAATTTTCATATAGTTGTTCTGTGTAATTCAAATAATAACAAATGTGAAACAGTGTAACAGAGTAATATTACTTTAAGTACTTATTGCTTTAAGAACAGAAAATTCTGTTCTTGCCCATTCCAGTCACCAAAAGCTTTTCCTGAAAGATAGAAAAAATTTCTTTTTTCCCAAGTCATGACCATGTGTTCCATATGAATGCATTTAGGAAGCTCTTTAGAAATAACCATCTATTCCAATATTTTTTTGTCATTTTTTAAATCCATCCAGTCCAATGAAGACACCTGTACAAATTCAATTATTACTGTATTCATGGTGTAGTTACTTACTTTTTATAAAGTATCCATGAGGTTGTATTTATGAATTAAAAAAACAACTATTATGGCCTCAAACAGACATTGGATGGAATTATCATATATAAGTGTCTCTTTTCCCTTTAGGAATTCAGTTCCAAAATGCCATGAATAGTCAGACATTGCTGCATGCTTTCCTGTTTATGAGCTAGCACTTCATGTACATCAACAACCATCTTGGTTTTGAGTAGTAATTTATGAATGATGGGCTAAGTGCAATGAAAATTTCTCTCTTACTACTTAAAGGGTTAAAAACTTTGGGGGCCAAATCCTTTTCATCTTACTCACAAAACAGGTTCCATTGACTTCAGAGGGGCTGCTGAATAAGATGTACAGGATTTTGAACTCTTGGCCAAATTCTGGCAGACTAGTAGATGAAAGTGTCATACCCAGAAGGAAGACTGCTCCTCTGCCTACAGTGCCCTTGGCCATGGCAAATCCATGAAGACATGTCCTAGGACATGAGACAAATACCACTGGCCATGTGTTCCTTCTCTAGCACAAGTTAGGTACATACTTCAGGCCAAAAATCTTAGGTAGATCAACAAATTCTTTGTTACCAGTATAACACTACAGGTTGGCTTTACATTACTTTCTCTAAACATCTGTTTAGGCTTCAACTGCACATTGAGCCAGGATTTGGCCCTTAATATGTGACACTATTAGCTGGACTTAATATTATGTTGAATCATACTATGTACTGAGCTATTTGTGACATTTTATGTATGACCTTCTTTTGTTAGAACTGTGAAAACTACTTGTATGTTCTGTTTTATGCGGTGGTGTTCTTTCATTGTCTGGTACCATATATTCGATCTCTATATGTTGAATAATGACATCTCAGTTGAACTTGAAATACTGTGTATACCAAAAAGAAGTTCTAAAGTACAAGGAAGTACTGTATATGGTAATATTAAGTAGAGCAGAGGAGTTCCAACTGTATGAGATGCAGACTGTTAAAGCACTACAGGGATCTTCTTCAATCCTATACTAGTAGTAGGGAAAAAACCAACCAAACAAAACAAATTAATATAAGCTGTTATCCTCAAAATTCTGTATAAAATGTCCATGTATTTTATACTTGACACCTGTGCTTCAAATTCAGATCTGAAAAATAACCTTTCTTCAGTCTGTGAGAGAAGCAGTTTGCAAGGGTTTGTTTCTTGTTTATTCCTGACTGTTTAGTTGTATGGGAGAGTGCGTTAGAGATTGTGAGGGAGAAACTTGCTGTTGGAAAGTTGTGCTGAAAGGAAGGTGTTGTGTTTAGTTCTTAATCAATATCATGATCATTTAATCTCTTCTTGAAGTTAGCCTGCAAGATCATCTGTGGATCAGTCAAAAGTTCAGTAAACTTGAATCCTTCAAAGAGGGAAGCAAGCAAAATTATCATCAACCAAACTCAATGAGGTATTGAAAAGGGCTTTGTGTTGAGATTTTTAAATGGCAGTTCTTGCAGAAAAAAGGGATACAATGAATGAAATGACTGAGTAAGAACATTTATATCATCCTGAAACCTAGATTAGTTTATCTCACAGTTCTAACTCCTACCAAATCATACAGGGTTTAGGAGCAGTTTTTCCTTAGCAGCAGCTGGGCTTCGTAATTCTAGTTGCAAACCCAGCAGTCACACAAATAGTTGTATGAGCATGCATACATTCTTGCATTCAGTAGGACTTCTGCTACAGAAATTAATCTCAAGGAGTTATATTTGGAAAAATAAATATAAGAACTAAATCCATGAGCAGACAAACATCAATGTCTAATTATAGCAAACATGAGCGTGTTAGACAGATCCTCAACATCACCATTCACTTACCCTATCAGCACACGGCATTTTTTGAGACTCAATTGTCCTGTAATATTTCCTTGGAATGGCTGCTCAATGAAATCCTATGTATACTGCAAAGTTTTTTTTTGTGGAACATATAGGATGGGAGGTGTTCTAGTCCATGGAAGGGCCAAAATGGAGACACTTAGAACTATCAGCAAACTAAGATTTTGTAGCCAGTCCTCAAGGATGTTTGAGAAAAATGTGCTGGAAAGAAGCACCTACTTCAACACATATCTTTCCATAAGCAGCTTTGCTTATGTTCGGTTACTGAGATTTTCATCATCTTTCTGATGAAAAGCAAAGATCAATTTTCAGTTGTCTATAATTTCAATTCATAGTTGAACTGAATTTTCAGTCAATTTTAACTATTTAGCCAAGCTGGGAGATCTTTTTCAAAGTCTGAATTCACCTGCTCAGAGAATGCAATTGGAGCCAGTAGTCCTACTATAGGTTCTTGACCTTTTTACATTGAATCTTCTCTTTTGTCAAATATTTGCTTTGTATAAGTACTCATTGTAATGAGTATAAGCACACTGTAATGCACAGATTTATACTTTGACTTCTCCTTGAAAGAGGAAGATCTCTTGTCTCTTTTAGTTTCTCTTTTCTTATCCATAACTAAGTGACAGAGCACCAAAGAAGATGCACAGATGTGAACAGTGCATAAAAGCTCAACTATGAATCTATAAAAATCTCATAGCTGATGGCCACAATAAAGAAAAGGACACATTCTGAAATGCCTGCTAGGTAAAAAAAAAGGTGAAACATCACAGAATCACAGAATATTTTGAATTTGAAGGGACCCATAAGGATCACAGAGTCCAACTTTTAAGTGAATGGCCTGTATGGGGATCAAACACACAACCTTGTTAAGAAATTAGTTGCTGGTGCTCATTTGCAAGTATGACCCTGCACAGAGCTCTGTTCCTAGAAGTTCCCTAAAGAATAAAGGAAAATACATGCAATTCTATACAGCTGGTGTGAGAGATCTGGTTAATACCGGATAAGTTTTGCCATGTAAAAGACATAACTGTCTCAATGAAAATTTTCAAGAACAATATAGGCAATTAATAAACTTATGAGGAATTGGCAATTTCTGTTGGTAAGAATGGGAACACACACATTTAGATATACTGTGAAAGGAAGATGTTGTTACTCTAATTGCAGTCTTATCAGTTCCTTTACTGAAAAGAAAAGTTAAAAATATAACTTATTTGTATGAAGAATTTTCCTGGCTTATAAGTGTTAGATTGCTTATACAGAAAGGTTTTCTAAGTGTACATTTTAAAGATGGACTGTGATAGCACAAGGGAACATAATACAACAGAAAAAAAATGTGTAAGTGTAATGTGAGAATGTTACTACTTAAAAACTAAAATTTGTAGTGCAGCAAGTTGTCATAAAGAGGAAAACAGCATGTTGGTATTTTTCATTGTGTGCTTTAAATAAAACTGTTGACACATGGCACAAACAAATTATTGTAATATCAGTTGGAAACTGCGAGACTGCCTTTCTGACAAATGCCTGGTTGCAGTTGAAATATGCTTTGTTTTCTGAGCCCTGGGCTGATCCTTGCTTTCATATCAGCCAACTGGAATGTTTGTTACACCCAGGCTGTCAAACCACCTTCACAATAAGCTGCACAATGTGACACTGAAGCTACTTTTATTTTTCCATTTTATAACAAAGACAACAACTTGCTTTTTTACAATTAATTAACTTCACAGTCTTTTGTAATCAAAATGTCTAACAAGAAGTGATGATAAATCAGATTTCTGACTAGCAACTGAATATGTTTTCATTTGGATTGTATGGCTAACAGTACTAAAGATAAAAACATCTAAATTTCAAGGAAAAAAAATTAGTCCAAATTCTGAAGAGCAATTAGGTTGTGCCACAGATGAGAGGGTTTGAGATGTCAAAATTGTTCCCTGTGTTGTGACACCAAGGACTTGGTTCAAAGTGTGATTCTATAGGTCACAACCTGAAGGGTTACCTGGCCTGTGGCTGTGCAGGGGTCATGACTGTGGGTTCCTAAGATTTCATGATACACAAGGACACAGAGGCTTCATCCTCTTAAGATTTTCTAGTTCATTACAGAATCCCACAAAGATCACTGCTAGCAAGTATACCAATAGTTATTACAGCCAATATGAAGGTTAATAAAGTGAACATGAATGAATATGAATGAATATAAATTAATATGGATTAATATTAATTAATATGAATGCCAAGCTATTACAATTATTATCAGCAATCAATAATATCAGTCAATAGTATGGTGTCAATCAATACTAGCATCAAGCAGTATGGTAGTACACCCAATAACAGTAAGAGCCAAGTAGGTGTGTGCTACTACAATTACTGGAGTTTGCCACTGAAACAAACTGATCAACAATAATATAACAGCATATATGCTTAATATATATAATATTTACAGTCAGAAAAAGCCAGACTTAAGAAGAAGCCAAACCAGCCCAAAAGGGTGGAACAAACTGATCCTGGAGGGGACACCCAACCATCCCCAAAAAAAGAGAAGAAAGACCCAAGCAGTCAGACAACAGTTTCCCTTCAGAACAGATCCCTGACACAGAGTGTGGAGTCAGCCAGCATTCCCACTGAATCAAGAGAATGGAGAGTTCATGATGGAATTAGCTGGGAAGTTCTCAGAGGGAGACAACTTTAGTCTGTTTTATAACAGAGAGACATTAAGTGTGTGTAGGATATTCTGCTTTGAGAATCTAAAAAATTATGTTAATTTCTGGTTTTTACTTCTAACAGGCAATAGATGATTCTGTTTTCTGATTTTTACAGCAATTTTATATCTCTACATTGTTTTCCATTTTCCAGGAAGTAAATTGTCATTACAGTCTCTTGGGTTTGCACTTATTCCTGATATCTTGGGAAGTCTGTGGTTTCTAGGTCTTTGGCTGTACTTTTCAAGGATGCTTGCAGTTCCTAGGCCTAGTCCTCAGCCTCACAATCCCAGGCTGGCAGACCTTTCTCTCTCATAATTTTCAACCAACAAAATTTTCTGTACAGCAATTTTCCTCTTCTAACCAGGTTGCTCACAGCTGGGAGAGCCAAGGCAGCCAGGTGAGCCTGCTGGCTCTGAACCAGGACCCATGCACATCTGGAGCAGCAGCTGGGCTCCTTAGGGCACCTGAAAAGCTACTGCATGCCTGTGGGTGTGCTTACCTGCACATCAAGTCTGGGAGTCAGGACTCAGTTGTCTAAATGTTCCTTGTGCAGACGCCCCAGGTGCTGCAGAGCATTTCAAACGGCACTGGGTGTCCAGCTAAAGCCACTAAGTCAGGCCTGGAGAAAGGGGCTTATTTGCCTCTCTGTTCCCCACACTGCAGTCCAGAGTGAATGGCTGACCCATGTGTATGATAGTCCTGGTTGCCTTGGGTAGTGATGAGGATTTTGAGAAAACAAAAGGGATTATTTTGCTTCAAAATTCAAGGATGGTTTTGAAGAGTCAAGCCATGAGTCTGTATTGTAAAAAATGCTAGAATTAGACTACAATTAGACTGTGTTATAAAAGCAAAAATATTTTAAGCATTTTAAGTCTCGACAAATGCATTATTTGCCAGCATTACTAAAGTAAACATGGATTAAAATAGAAACTATCTGGATCCTTTATTTCTTCTATTTGCCTTGTTACTTATGGACTGGAGAAAACTTTGCAGTTATATTTTAGAGCTTATTATGTCATCATTTATCTTCAAAAACACTTAAACAATATGAGTGAACTATTTACTTAGCAAAAGTTGGTTTTCTGCAAATGATCCATAATTTAGCTCTAGGTCTTGCATAGATTTATAGTGTCCATTATAGCAACATAAACCCAGTATGCAGAGGCCTATAAATTGGTATGCTGCTTGTTTTTATAAGATAAATGTTACTCAATCCTATGGCACCGTATTCTTTTTTCATTTGAAGGACACCATGTATTTTATAAGTAAAATTCCTAAGTAGCAAAAGAAATTCCACCTGAATATGAGGAAGAACTTAATTGTGCAGGTGACAGCGCACTGGAACAGGTTGCCCAGAGAAGCTCTACAGTATCCTTCACTTAAGAATCACCTGGACACAATCCTGTGCCATGTACTCTAGGATGACCTGCTTAGGCAGAAGGTTGGACCAGATGACCCTCTGTAGTCCCTTTCAACCTGACCCATCCCATGACTCTCTGTGAGAATAACTAAGATGAGTAGGGTCAGAATTCTGCTGCATTTAATTAGAAACAGCCAAATCGAACAGACTGCTTTTGTTTTGTGTTATTTGTGTATGGGATTATCCTGAGCCAAACAGTAAATTTATTGAAGTTACTTCTCTAAAGGAATATAATAAATTCAGATTAAAGGTCTTTCAGTCTGCAATTTGTGTTCTTTTCAGTGAAAGCAGCCACAGAACAAATCACGACTTCTCATCCTGTGTTGGGTAATGCCACCTTTTTACTATGGTGCAAATGGTTATGCAGGGAATATCTTTGATAAAGCTGCTCTCCGAATTGTTACTCAGATAACCAGGAATGTCATGTTGCTTTACTGAACGTAGCAAAGCCTGCCTTTCTCAGCCTGCCCTAATGTCAGCTGAGCGCTTCTATTTCTTGCCTCTAGTCAAGGGCACAAGGCTTGCCCAGTTCATTTAGTTTCAATCCTCAATTCGGCACCTGATGCTCACGCATCCCGAAGGATCATCACTCTAGGCGGGATCTCGAAAGGGTTTTGCTCTCCCGAATTGTTCCGGGCAGGAGACACTGGAGGGCACCAGAGGCCGGGGATGGCGGCGGGCTCCCCGCGGGCAGCGAGCGGGGACAGCCGGGCCGGGCCGTGCGGCGGAGCCGGGGCTGGTGCGTCCCTGCCAGCCGGGCCGGCGGCCCGGACACAAGCGTGTCCCACCGGGAGGCTGCCGGCAGCGCCGGGGAAAGGCGGAGGGAAAGCAGCAAGTGCTCATTTCAGCCAGCGCTGCTGGAGGTCCGGGGACGCGGGAGAAAGAGGGGAAGAACATTCAAGTCAAGAGTTACTGCATCATGTAAAAACGTGCATTTCAGCAGTGGTCTGCCCACTGTCCCTTCTCTCATGTCCATCTATTGTCCGTAAAAATCCTGGGAGTAAAGATTCGTACCTCTAGACGATCCTATCAGGCTCTTGCCATGATTCTAAAAAAGCAGAGTGCAATTCAACAAGGATGAGATTAAAAAAATCCCATTCGCTAAAATCAAAGTGCACAATGTTGCATGAGGCTTGACAACATTAGCATCAGGGAAATGCTTATTGGATTCAGAATTGCTGGTCACTGCAAGAGAGTATCTACCATCCCTGCTTTCACAGAGAAAAGGACATAGTCTTGACTGGGGAGGACATACAACTTTCATGGTTTTGGCTCAGACCAGGGACTTGGTTTGCATGTTGTAGATACATGATCTCACCATCAACCTATCTGAAAGTTTTTCAGTCACCTCTGTCAGAGCTGTTCCAGTTTGAATTCATAACTTTATACTTCTTACCCTTGCAGGGTAGGGAATACATTTCTTTTCAGCTTCTCAAGCCAGTCTGCTAAATGCTAGACAAGTTCTTGCAAGAACATATTTTGCTTTCATCCCAGTGCAGTATGAACACATTTTTTAAATTACATTCAGCAGATGGGAAAAATAGTTATTTCCTATGCTGCTGGGAGAATGGTGCAGCCAACAGATTCCTGGCCCAGCTGCTGCTCTAAAGCTGTTACGCTGGTCACTGCATACACTTGAGAGTTCAGCCAGTGAATTACAGTTTGCTATAATAAGAATATTTTGCTTTCCATTAGATCACACTCGGTGGAACAACAGCAAATGCACTGAAGCCATCAAAATGGCTGTCAGTGACATTTCAGGGTCCCTTTGCTTCATTGCTGGTGTCAAACAAGTTCTGGCAAAAGGACATCTTGGCCACATTGTCTGAAGTAACACATCAGCTTTTCTGATGTGATAGGCCAGGTGAACTGCACAGCACTTAGACTGCAAAGGAATCTTAACAAAGCTGAAAAAATGAAAGCAAAGATCATATATCATGTATTAAAACTCAATTCAGAGCTCTCTTAAGGTGTTATGTGAGTAATAACACCTTAAGATGTTAGCAGCAGCTTGAATTCTTCTCACAAAATTCTTTGAAACAAAAGATACACACGTCTCCTGGATGGGAATTGTTGCAGGGAATCACAGAAAAGAGACTGATTCATGCAGCAGAAGCAGAGCAGGAGGCTATGTCAGTTTGGGCCACTACCCAGAAGTGGGATCTGTTCATATGAGAAGTAACTGTTCAAAGAATTCTCATAGGATCATATCTCTTTGGAAGGGCAGACCACTTAAAAAGGCCAGATCAGTCATGCAAGTCATAAAGCTGAGGAGTTGCAGGTATTAGCTGCTGTGCAAGCTAAATGCTTTCATATCTGCCACTGGTCCTTTGAAACACTGAGGACAACCCAAGGTCAGGAAGCATAAATTTAGACATCTATATATGCACTAGACATTAAACCTTCAGTTACAGGCAGTACAGTCGAAGGTACACTGTCAGCCAATGCAGGCACATAAAGTGATTTATTCGGTCACAAGTCTTACTGTAGGATAACCCAAGCTGCTCCTTAGGCTTTACTGACTGTATTGGCTCAAGACAAGATTCACACATAAATGTCCAGCACTGCCTGTGTGTTGGGTGGGTGTCCTGTCTGGCACCCAGCCATCCCAAAAGGACATGGGTTTCCTTTATGTTTTAAGTGCCAAGCACATTTCAGACTTCTTAAATTCATCCAAAGGCACTAACATGTAGGCAAATGAATCAAACTACTGGTTTCCACTGATCCATTCATCTCCACTGTCAAAATAAAGACAGAAAGCATGTTTGTATATTTACCTACATGTAGGCATGTTAATTTAAGAGCCTCCATCTTGATATTACCTGTTTTTTTTTCTGCCCTTGAAAATTTTGTTGGCTAGAAGTTTCATTTTGAAACTGTTGTGTCTTTTAATTTTAGAAGCTCCCATGCTTTGTTTCACTTACCTGAAATATGTCCATCAACAGTTCACATTCTCAAGACTTAACAGGCTGGTGCAGAACAAATACATGTGCACACAGGTAGCTCTAGAGACTGCATTCAAATTTTCCTAACTCTGGCTTACTTGTGTTTTGCCAGAAAATCCCTGGAAGGCAGCTTGTGTTCTCTTTCAGCATACAGGGACAAAAAGTGTACTTATGGGGAGTTATGGGTGACATGAGAATTAATGTGTTCAAGAACATCAGAAAAAAAAACAGTAAAATTAGTTCAAAGGAATGGTCAGTATTAATAACCAAGGACATGTACAGAAGCAATCAGACTGGAAAATGCTGAGGGATTCGTTCATTTATATCATGACCAGAAGGCCTCTGCTCCCTCTGCAAGAGGATGGCAACAAGGATGTCATATGGGCCATGCTTCCTTCCACTGTGCCATGAGGAAGATGAGGATACCCAAACAGAGGTATCATGGACAAGAGACAACAACCTTGTCAAAGTTTTATGGAGAACAAAGCTTTTGAGGTTGAGATGAGGATCTGGCATTCACTGATCATCATGCAGCATTAGACTCTGGACCAAATTCTGGTAAAGATCAGTTTGGGAGTGATTGTTCCAGTTCATTTGGTTTGAACTTTTCCTCCGAGCCTGCATTCTTTTGTTTTTGCTGGAATGAAACACAAAACAAAACCTGCCTGACATTCAAACGGCACTGCTGATGACTCACTGACCCACTCCACGGCTTTAAGCTAGTAATTAGCTCACTTGCTATCTCATCTGTGCCTTCTGAAAAACAGGGTAATGAGTTTTTGCTGATAACGAAAAAGTGAACATGATTTGAATTGTTCCCAGAAAGTAAATTACTAAATAAATATGCATTAACAAGTGATCCTAAGACAAGAATTTGCTTGTGGGAGCAACTGCATTTTCACTGAGGCCAGTCTTGAATAACATCCTGGTTTACAAAAGGCTGAGAGTCACTGTGACAAAGCACAAATTGCTACCAAGGTTATTTAGGCGACTCTTTTCATTCAACGGTATCACAGGGATCAGCAAACCATGTGGCACATTCTTCAGTTTTGTCTCCTCCTTTTGGTGTTGTCTGTGGCTGCCCCTTTTGCAGGTACAGCTCGATCCTGCTTCTCAAACTCCTTCCACATATAACTGAGTGCCCAGCTTAACCAGGCAACTTTGCAGGTTTCAGCGCGTTTTAGAGACACTGTCGTAACAACTTCAAGACCCTTCAGTTTACAAGGAACACCACTAACATTGACACATTCAGGATAGAACTAGTACAGTGGTATATTCACATTTATTTACTTGCATTACCATAAATTTTATAGACACAGGCAGGTGTGTTGACTACATTGTGCTCAACAAATAAAAGGCCTGAACAGAAGTACTTGGACTGGGAGCCATGAGGTAGAAAGTAACAGGAAACAGAAACAATCAATCGGAGGCAGCAGTTTCAGTATAGCAACCACTCAATTATCATCGACAGTTTAGTGGACCTGAGGACTTTCAGAGAAAATAATTAGGTGGCTATGAGGTGTTTACAATGACTTTTTCAGAGAAGAGAGAATGCTTCTTGAAAAAAAGCATCAAAAGCATGTGTTTGAAAATTATCAATTAGGAAATGGAAAATTACTAAATTGCATCATAAGCTGATCAGAGGTAGGGCTTGACCTCTAAATACTGAAGGGGTTATTTTAGAAGTTGTTTTATCTGAGCAGTCACAGCACACAGAGTTGTGGTGAGTTCCTGGGAATAATCATTTAATTCTGCAAACAGTAAACCTGGTGAAGCCTGGTTTATTTTGAACTCATGTTTTATTTTCTTATCCTCCCAACTCAACAACCTCTCCTAAAGCTCTTTAAGAGTTTCTCCTCACCTCAGCTGTAAGTCTTCAGCATGTTTCTTCTCATGACCTCTAAATACCATCTAGCTGAAGGGCTCCCTGACAAGGGGCATGTTCTGTCTCGCAGCCTGATACCCGCGGTGAGTGCCTCAACCACTGCAGGTGAGCATACACTTCAGCTTTGCCTCATTACATTTCCTTTCTTATGTAGAGACAGTCTTCAGAAGTCGTGTAGAAAACCCCACTATTCTTCATCTCAGATGGTCATTCCAACGAAGCTGAAAAGACAGAAAGGCACTCTTAGTCCATGATTCATCCTATCCCAAAATAGCTATCTAAATCGGGTCATTTGAATCATGGTTAAACATGCCAGCTGGTCTCCACTAACTGTAAGGGCAACCAAAGGGATTATCTCAGATGAAGACATTGGTACTACAGAAGTCTAAACTTAGGTGAAATGAATCCTACTGTAATTCTTTT